AACTCGTCCGCCATATCGGATCCGCCTTCTTGAATTTTCAATTGAAAAAATAGCTTACGACCGATTCTCAGACCTATACCAAATATTTACAAAAATTTTCATCAGAATCGGTCTAGCCCTTTCGGAGAAGTGCGGCAACAAACACCGATTCACATTATATCAAATATGAAGATGAAAATTATGAACAGAAATCGTTCCGAACCATAATCAACAAGGGTGCATGGATTATTTTTGTGTAATGTTCTTCTATGATTCTACATGCAATTCCTATCTACGGATTTAAATATTCAATGTTGTTGTATACTCAACAGAAAATAGTACAATGTTTTATTAGGATCAAATGTGACAGACACTTTGTTTGTCAAGCGATATTGGCGTTTGCGAGGCGGAGCTACACGAAGCCAAACACGCAAATTTTGCGAGTCAAACAAAATCAGTTTTGATCCGAATGAAACATGCTATTTTTTCTGCAATCCAAATAATTGATATCTAATGAATTAAATTTGAGTGAAATTACCACTATTTTGAGTCACTTGAGCTTGTCAGTTTCAAAGCAACATACACACTAATCATTTCATTATGTCAGTAAGAGAAACCTCGAGAGAAACGTCAACTTTGAGAGCTAATTTTAGAACGAAAGAAAAAAAAAGTACCTACCATCAAGTAGTATTGAAATGTTGGATATAGGTACCTGCTACAAGAATCTGAAAAATATTAGACATAGGTAGGTAGTTCCGCATCAAATCACAATCTTCCCAAAAAAGTTACTTTTCAGTCTATCAAAATCAGACATTCAGTCACTCTGTAAGTATACATACATATACCTACGTGCTCTATGAAAATCAGCATAATTCAGAATTCAGATCCTACACGATTATCTGTATGATATGACACTACCTCAAGACAACATCATCAATAATCAATAACCATTTACAATTCAATCAACATATCGAATGATCTGTTAAATATTATAAACGAATGAATAAAATATTAGCCCAACAGGTATAATATGATGTTGTATAACATCCATTCTATAATTAAAATTTACAAATTTGATAGTGACATTTTGACATTTAAAAATCAGGAAATGAGTCTAATATTATTAACAGTTTTGTTCAACTTTTGCATAAAATTCCCATAAAAGTTTAGCATAACTCTTGAATCTATTAATGAGATCCATTCTGAGCATAAGCAAGCAATAATAATTTTTTATTGTTATATACAGCTTGAAAGCTAAGTCACAACGTTTGTTCAACCTGTCAGATATCAGCAGTGAACAAAGATGTTTCGACCTTATACGATTCCATCCTCAGTCATTTGAATGGAAATAAGTCCCACAAAATCCACCAGGCATAGGCTATTCAGAGGAAAAAAAGAACGCTCAAAGTCATCTCCACAACTTTTTGAATGATGTAAGTTGTTCAGGGAGACATGTTTCGGACTATTAAAAATCCATCTTCAGCCCAAACAAGACAGTACTACAAAGAGAATCATGACATAATTTTTTTTCCAATATCATAATATGATGTTATGATTCTCTTGTTAGTACTGTCTTGTTTGGGCTGAAGATGGATTTTTATAAATCCGAAACATGCACCCCTGAATAGCTTACATCTTTAAAAAAGTTGTGAGGATGACTTTGAGCAAACATGGACTTCTACAACCCAGTTCACCACACATTATGTCTCAGCTCTATCACAAGAGAGATCAGTCAAAAAACTTTGGTTCATCACACCGTTCTGAAATATATGCAACTTGCATCTCAAATATAACATGTTACTTTTGCAAATCAGTGTTGCATCACAAGCCCTATCAATGTGATAAAATTGAGGCATCCTATATAGGCGTCACGAGGCGTCATCACAAAAGAGATCAATCGAAGAACTTTGTTTTATCACACGTTCTATCAACGTGATAAAATCATGGCATCTCATGCGTCATCACAAATGGAATCAATTAAAGAACTTTGTTTCATCACACGTTCTATCAACGTGATAAGATTGAGGCTTCCCAGGTATGATCACAAATGAGATCAATTAAAGAACTAAATTCATCACGACGTTATATAAACGTGATAAGATTGAGGCTTCCCAGGCTTGATCACAAAGGAGATCAAACTAGAGAACTTTATCTCTTCTTCTTCTTCTTCTCTGCACAGGTGGGCGTGTGCGTAGACCCCTGCACTCAGGCAACTTCAGTCGGGCCCATTGTGCGTCCACTTGTCCTGTGAATCAGTTGGGCATGCCGATTTCTTTGACGAAATTCAGCAGCTTCCTCAGCTGAGTCGCTTTCACATCCTTTGGGTTTCAGTACAATGCTCCCAAAGGCAGCTTTCCTCGGATGCACCAGCGCGGGGCATTCAGTGAGTATGTGTGATGATGTTTCATCATCCTCCAAGCACCATCTGCAGATGGGACCATCTTTGATCCCTATGAGTTCTAGGTGCCTGTTGAGGTGGTTGTGCCCAGTTAAGAGCCCGACTACCATCTTTAGATCCCTTCTATTAAGTGACAGGATCTCCCTCGTGAGCCTTTTTGAAGGTTCCTTTATATATGGAGCTTTGATTGTCTCATTCCTGGTGTGTCCCACCATGTTTCAAGGAACTGCCTCAGTAGCATTTCCTTCATGAAGGACATTGCCGTACTATTGGGTATTCCCAATATTGGTTCTGGTCCAATTAGTGTCGTTCCTGAACCGATTTTGGCTAGTCTGTCTGCCTCCTCGTTCCCCGGAATACCAGAGTGTCCTGACACCCACATGAGGCTGACTTTCCTAGTTTTTACCATATTTTCTAAGGTACTTCTACACTCGGACACCAATTTAGTTGTGATCCTATTGGATCTCAATGCCATAAAAGCAGCTTTGCTGTCCGCGCATATGGTGACTGGTCCATGTCCACTTCTGCCGAAATTTTCTTGGACACACGTCAGATTTGCAAACACTTCGGCCTGGAACACTGAAGCGTATTCGCCAAGAGGTACTGAGATTCCTTTCCCTGTTCCTCCTTCATATACTCCTGCACCAGACTCGCCACCAAACCTTGAGCCATCCGTGAACCAGGTTGACGTTGGCAGGAAACAAACCTGGTGTATTGCCAGTCCATTCCTCTCTTGTAGGAAAAATGACATGCGGAGCTTTATTGAAATCCAGAACTGGTAGAGTGCTGTCTCTTTCCATCAGCAGACTGGGACAGCTTTCTTCGGCCTTGTTCCTCGCCTTGTTCCATATTATATCATCACACTTTTTATCAACGTGTGCCCGATTTGGAAATGTTAAAAATTTTAGTGCTTTCTCCTTGATATATAGTGTACCGAATTTTCCCAAAGATTATGGTTTTATGAAAAATACCCATTCTTTCAACATCTACTTTTGATGTTTGATTTGAAATATGGAAAGGGCAATAAGAAGAGTAAATTGAAAAATACTATGATATAGGTGGTCGTATTATATTAGCCAGGAGAGAAGTTGTTTTCTTTCAGACATCGCGAAACAATCTGGTTTCGAATATTTCTCGTTATTCTTTTACGTCTTCCATATTTCAAGCTTGATATTGCTTTGTTCATAAGTTCTGATTGTGGCCTTGTTCTTACAATTTCATGTAAAAAATTATTCAGCGATAAATAAAAACACTGCTTTAATTTTTCCGCAATTGTTGAAAATAAACCACAACTCATTCAATGCCGTCTCGCTAGGAGAATTTCATTTTTCGTAGGTATCTCAAAATTTGTTTAAAACGCGGAATTATACCCATTTCGATGGTTTTTGCATATCAATAATTGTCATGCATCAATTATTATCCTTCCTGGTCTATTAAAATAATTGATATTAAAGTGGGGTAAAATGAAATCAAGGTTAAGATTCTTGCATGTCAACCACTAACCGCTCAAATTACTTGGGTTCTCATATATTTCAATGAATTACCACATTGGAATTTCCAAAAAAAATATTTCCACGATGACAAAATGGGTAATATGAATTTCCACTAAATGAAGATAATGTAAAGTACTAGTGTTTAGCCACGAGACTAGCAGATCGTTTCTTAATCATCATCTGTATCTGTATTCTCTGGTTATGTAACCGAAAAAAATAAAAATTGTCACAACATTTTAAGTTTTCAATGTACTGGTACTTTTGAGATTTTGTGAAACTGAACACCTATCAATCAGTTCTTGAGTTACCAATAGCTATACAAAATTCCATATTTTGAAATTCTAATTTTTGTCATGCAACCCTGAATGGCTAGCTGATATCGACCAGTGTCTAAAACAAAATTGATTGTGTAATACCTTTGAATGAAAAATATATTTTTGTCCGGTTCATGAGTTATTTTTGAATAAAATAACGTTTGCAGAACTACAATAGATTAACAGTGTTTTGTTATAACTTGCCAGGTTTAGCGTGATAGTTTTTTTCATAGTATGAGAAATCTCAAGTTAGCTTCAAAAAGAATCAGCTTATAAATTGGACTACATCCTTTCCAAAGGTATGGCATTATAAAATGTATTTTGAACTGTTATCAACAGCAAATGTTACTATCTCAAAAACTTATATGTCGCATAATTTGATGCTTTGATGGTCAGTTATGAGCTGACTTCTGGGAAACACTGTGTAGGCGAGATGTTGAATTTGAATTGATTAGTTTACTCTTGACCTTTTGACTTTATATTAGTTACTAATATTATTGCACTATATTTTTACTCTCTTTATCACATTTCTATTGTTCCTATTGAAAGTTTCATTCGGAAGGATCCAAATATTAAACCAAAATCTATCCCAAACGTGACCCTGGATTGCCAATAAGTATATATATACGTCATGATATCCCATAGATTTTGGTCACGTTTTTTGCTCAATATACACAATTTATTCAAGTTCAGTCTAGAAAATTGTAATGGAAGAATTGGAAATGTGGTTTTGAATTGATGAAAAATATAAAAATATACATCGCAGTTTCTTGACAGGCATCAATCGTTGATTTTAATTCTGCAAATGTCACTTACCTACTCTTCAATTCCACTGATCCATTTTCAGATTTAAATTTCCATTGAAGTTTGAATTCTTCAAGTTAATTCATCAAATCAAAAAATTCACTCCAAGCATTTTCTGAGATATAGGTAGGTAAATTTGTATAAAAATCTTCACCAATCAAGACATGATTGCGCTTGGCTCTACACTGAAATTCAGGGTTGGGGTTGATTTTGTATATAGCTCACGGTCAGAACCGCCTCCAAATCGATAGCGAGGGGTGAGTTTACAGGGGTGCAACAATTGTCAAGCTTACGAGGGCCTAACACGAAATACATCGATAGCACTATGTACATTTTTTTATGTTCTGGTTCTCACGAAAAGGGATATCCTGTAATGTTCAGCGAACATCGTGAGAACCAAGGGAAATGAGATAGGAATCGGTGTTCTTCTTAAATTTCTGGAGGTTATATGCCTCGGGGCGCACCTCCCTTAGCAATGTGTTCCAGACCCTCGCTGTTCGTTGGATGAACGAGTCTTTGGAAAGATATGTTCTACTGGTTTTCAAAGTGACCAAGAAGGGGTGCGAAGCCCCAACTCGACGGGTTAATCTCGCGGGGACTGCCAAGGAAGGAACAATTGTTGATATTTCAGGAGAGCATCGTCCATGAAAATTTCTATAAAATAGAGCCAGATCGCCAACTTTTCTACGGTGTTCCAGAGAAGTGAGTGAGTTTGTGAGCGAGGCATCACCCACGAGACGAATTGCCCTTTCTTGGACAGAATCCAACAGTTTCTTTTATGGTATGTTTGGGTGCTGCACTCCAAATATGGGAACAGTATTCCAGGACAGGTCGGATCTGTGGCTTATAGATCATAAGCAGCTGACTGGAAGTGAAATAGCTCCTGGCCCGAAACAAAAAACCAAGTTTTTGGGATGCACTTTTAACAAATGATTTCATGTGACTTTCCCAAGAAATTTATTGCTGATAGTAATACCAAGCAACAAAATGGATGTCTTGAGAGGTATGGTTACACCTGACAAGCTTATGTTGGGCACAGTGTGATCGGCTTTTCCAGGCTTTTCTGAAGAAAAGGCATGCTTGTGTTTTGTTCGCATTGAAATCTACCAAGTTATTGGATATACACTCATTTCCGAAAAAAGTGAGTGGAAAAATGGGATCGTATACCAATGGAAACGATAAACAACTTAATTTCCAGTATGCCTCGTAGATTAGAAGTTCTTAGAGTTGCTAGAGGAGGCAATAGACGGTATTAAGCAGTCATCCCAATTCATAATTTTATGTTTAATAAAAATGTTCTTTAAAATTATTGGTATCAGTTTATCTCATAAGAAAATTGTTTCTCGATAAATTCAGAAAAAAAAGCTGTAATTCGAAAAATTTCAAAGATAAATCAATGAATATAAAAGCAAAATGCGCGCAAAAGAAGCCTCTTACGTATAGGGTGTAAGCACTTCCTATGCCATTACTCAATTAACAGACAGGGTGAGTCAAAAATTAAGAATAAATCATGGTTCGAGTTATTCCACCACCATCAAGGAGGCTTTGAAAAAAATTACACCTCTTTATTTTCTTTTTTTGAGACAAATGCATTACCTACCAACAAATAAAAGAGAAATAAAAATCGTCCGACTATTTTTTTTTAAGAAGATAAGTCAAATATCAAGTGCGCCACTTTTTTTGGAACTGAGTGTATTTCAAGAGCGTTCCTTAACGAGTGGAAATTAGCATATCAAGGTGACCTGGTGACAGCAATAAGACAGATAATATACCATGATTTTGAAGAGATAACAATATTCAATCTAAAAAAAATACATGGCCAGTTTTTACTTCATTGGGAAAACTCAAATCATATTGAAATTGTTCCGAGAAAAGCAAACTGATTGTAACTGACTGGAATATGTATTTTTTCGTATTAAAAAATATTCCCAATCATAAAAATATATCACAGGTACTATTATAAACAGATTGACCTATACATTGAAAGTTAATGATGGAAAACAACGTCGATATTGGAAGTGGTGAATGTATCATGAAGGATATCATGAAGAAATTGATTTTTGGACTGTTTTCGCAATGCCACTATTGGATTTACTACAGTTTTTTATAGCCAATTTGCCATAATTATGCCATCTGTTACTTTTTAATGAAACTTGATGCAAATATATATATGTAAATAAAAAATACTATTTCCCAATTTTATAATCAATTTTGATTTCATCTCTCTAAAACTGGTTACTCACAATCATATTACATACAGGGTGATTCTTGTTCCGAGGTAAAAACTGAAATGAGTGATAGATCTCATCATTACAATTAAAAAAAGTCTATATTAACATGAGTCCGATCTCAATCAGTAGCGGATCTAGAGAGGGTCAAATTTTAATTTTTTTTATTTATTGAAATATCTCGCTCACTTTTGAAGATATCAATTTTAAATTTGTTGTGGTTAATACTTTTTAGGAATTTATCATTTCGAGTATTCTGAAGATTTTTTAAATCTACTGAATCCCCTCAAACTTTTTCGTAGTTCGTCTTTCAAAAACGTATCACCCTGTAGATTTTAAAAACCGTTGGAATGCTTCATATGATGGTCTTCTAGAAAGTATGGACCACATCAAAATTCAAATTGATATTTCCAGAAGTAAGCGAGATATTTCAATTAATAGAAAAAAATAACTAAACTTTGACCCTCTGTATCTGCGCTACTGATCGAGATCGGACACATATTTATGCACAGTTTTTTCACAGATTTACTCGATGAAAATGATAAGATATTTCACCCATTCCAGTGTACCTTGAAACCGTAGATGTATCTACTTTTTTTTTATCGCTTGGAGAGCACGAAAGGGAATCCCTATAATGTTCAAAGAACATCGTGCGTTCCTAGGGATGATAGGGACAGGAGGAAGGTATTGGAATTTTTTTGAACTTTTGGAGATTATATGTTGTTGGGAATACTTCCACAGGCAATGAATTCCAGAGCCTAGCCGTTCTATGGGTGAAGGAGTCTTGATAAAGTGCTGTTCGACATCTTTCGAGGTTGACAACGAAAGGATGTGCTGACTGGGCTTGTCTAGTTCCACTTGGTGGAATTTAACCACATGACCACATGTATTGAACACATCAAAATGCTTTTCTAATGAATACTCCCAAAATAAAAAATTGATTCAATGTATCAATATCATAAATATACACTTTGAATCGTTGATGGGAATAAGTTTCCTGAGAAATGAGAAAATCATTGTTAAAATATATCTAACAGAAAAGAACTACTTTCCTGGCTAATACCCATGCACAGAATATTAAATTATATCTGTCAAATATTGAAGATTCCTAATTGAAAGAAACTGCAAGAACTACTAATTTAGTAACTAATAACTTTCTTGGCTCATACCAAGAAATCTCTTTTTTTTTTAATCGACATGAAATTTCATTTTGCACATTACTCGAAACATTCATTCAAATATTTCATGCACACAATCATTATCTTTGGTTTATTCCTGACAAACATGATGTGGAAACTCGTTTATTCCGTATGCAGTTCAGGAGCTAATAAAAGCAATAATAAAAAATTCAATTTACACAAACATTTGGAACCTTTTGTCTAGAAATCCGTATTATTTGCATACGATTGCATACATTTACATACAAACGTGAGTTACAATCCAATTTTGGATTCAAATGCCTTCTTTTGATTCGGTATGTATTCCACAGGTTCCTAAAAATTTTGTTGTGAAGGAAATCCTTGAGGGAAGGCTATAATAAATATTCTGGTAGGTATACCTATGTATTTTGACAAAATCTCACCAATATAAATTACTAAATAAAGCTAAAGATATAGTGCATTATTATACAACTGGAGGTTATTTATGATAGCAATTTAGATAGTTATTTTGGAAAAGAAAGGAGTAGAATCGAAGGTCTCCTGAAATTCTTGGAATCATGATTGTACCGATTACACAAGTATACAGGGTGTAACTAAATGACACCGAAAAAATTGAAGGGGTGATTCCATTTCAGGAAATAAAATTCATATAAACATGTGCCCTAACTTGCTTCGTTTTCGAGATATGTACTTGAAAAATATTTTTTTTATTCATTTCTCAATTGTCTTTTCATCAATTTCAATATAACCGTTGTGGTTTTGTTAATAGTAATATGGAGCTCCATGTATTTTTCTTTTTATGCTCTGTTTCCCACGAAAAGGGATATCCTGTAATGTTCAGAGAACATCGTGAGAGCCAGGGAAAATAAGGTAGGAATTGGTGTTCTTCCTAAATTTCTGGAGGGTATATGCATCGGGGAACACATCCCTTGGTAATGTGTTCCAGAGCCTCGCTATTCGTTGGATGAGCGAGTATTTGGAAAGAGATGTTCTGCAGGTCTCCAAAGTGACCACGAAGGGGTGCGAAGCCTTAACTCGGCGGGTTAATCTCGCGGGGACTGCCAAGGGAGGAACAATTGTTGATATTTCAGAAGAGCATCGTCCATGGAAATATCTATAAAATAGAGCCAGATCGACAACTTTTCTACGGTGTTCCAGAGAAGTGAGTGAATTCATGAACGAGGCATCACCCACGTGACGAATTGCCCTTTTTTTGGACAGAATCCAACAATTTCAGGGTGTGTTTGGGTGCTGCTCTCAAAATATGGGAACAGTATTCCAGGACAGGTTGGATCTGTGCCTTATAGATCATAAGCAGCTGACTGGAAGTGAAATAGCTCCTGGCTCGAAACTGAAGAGAGAGAGACCCAAAAAAGGTTAAGCTAGAGGAAAGCAGTAAAGGGGGGATCGCGCGACAGCGCCAAAATTCAAAAAATAGATTCTGATCGGTCTGAGAGACCGCAGGTCACCACTGCAGGGTTGAGGACCTACCTTCCAAGGGCTTTATAGCGCCGTTAGGAAGCATAATACGAGACATGTTGATAGAAATTCTGGGACACCCTGTATAATTCTGATCCAGAAAATTGATAAAAGTAGGTAATGTATAGGTACTGATGACATCAAGTGCAACCTCCTTGAAATTTATAGTTCATGAACCGTTCTAATTCAGTTTGGGTAATCTGACTATCAAAGAACGTTCGGAAATGGTACTTTTCCAACCGGTTTTAATACCCTGATGACGAAGGAATGTTAATCGACATGATGTAGCATTCTTGGATGTCTGTATGGAAAAACCATCTGGGCCACAAAAAGATCATATTATCGTATGAGGAGTGGAAAATTATGCTTTTGTCTTTCATTTGAAAAAGTGTCTGTGAAATTCTATAACAATCCGATTTAATTATGAAACTGACCCTCTTTAGGCGTTTTTATTCGAGAATATTATGGAAAATTTTCTGCCAGGCGTCAATGAATTAATTGACAGCCTATTGTAAATATTGAAAGATGTTCTTTTTACCATATTCATTTCCTCAATCAGTAATATAATGATCACCTAAATATTTCCATAATATAAATAAATTGGAAGTAAAATAAAACTTTTTAATAAAAAGCTTTTATTTAAACGCTCTGAAAGGAAGAAAATAAAATTTTTCTCAATAATATTAACTATCAACTTATAACCTCATTATACACAATTAATATGATCATAAAAGCTTTTCTTAAATTCTACCGATATTTTCTCGCACAACTGTCAGAAATTTCATGAATTGTCAAACTATAATTATTATGGACATTTCCATAGCAACCAACCATTCCGACAACTGCGATTTCTATAAAATTTTATTTTAATTGAACCCCACAGAAAAAATAAAGAGATTGAGGGAATTGTAATAATTTGCAAATAAAATATCCTTCTATATCATTATGAACAATCGGAGAAAAAATTATATGTTCAACTCGGCAACAAAGTAGATTGACTGCCTTAGCTGAATTCCTATAGCCTGCACAACTAGTGAAGTTCCGGAATTCTCGATATTATTTGAAGTCAAATCGCACAGTTCTTCTTGACGACAGGCTCCAAAAATCGCAGCAACTTTCTGCATTAGATATATTTCATCTGGGGCTTCTGCGAGAAATTTGTCGATTTGTTCTCTTGTCAATACTTTTGACTTTTTCAGTCGATATCCTTCACCCTTTCGCTTCAAAAAAGCCACAAGCTTGTGATATCTGTTCATGTCATGATCATTTATGTTCATCATCGACTTTAACATAGAGTAATTCGACCAAAGCGTTGACGATTTCCATATTTTGGACTCTTCTTCAAAGTATGCAAGAAGCACTTTTTCACTGGCCTCCTTTCCACTGACTTTTTTCTGATCACACCATTTCAAGAAACGTTCGAAGAGATGGAACACTCCGCCTTCGGCGTCGTGTCCCAAACTTCCCTTCTCACAAGATAAAATGTCACTATCAGCACTTATATCATAAATCATAAATAACTATTATTCAAATTAATTAAAAATTAGTGCATAAGCAATAAACATAAAAGTGAGCCTCTTCTATCAGGCAACAAAAATTGCAACACAAAGATCTGTAATTCATAAAAGGTGAGTACCTATTTTAAGTAATCATTGACATTGGGGCATATCTCATATGTGCTACTTTTCCGCAATTATTGTTGTTTCTCAATAAATAAAAAAAAAGAACGTTTCCCCACATGTATACCAGGATAATGTTTTGTGGTGATAATATTTGAATAATTAGAAAGGAAAAATCAAAGCCTGCTATGAAATGGAATTCATATATCGAATTGAATGTCAAGTGTTTTGAATATTCATTCAATCAGCTCAATTTATTGTCGTAATATAATGTGATATTTTTAGATAACTGTAAGCTGTTGATGTATGCATAGGATTGAAATTACTTAATAAAAAAATGTCAAGAATGTATTTTTTCCACAATACTATAGCTTGTGAACCCATTACCTTCATCATAATGTTATCATTCTGATAAATCAAGTACTGCACCCTCTGGTGATATTTTTGAGTCATTTTGTTTCAATATGGCGAACAAAGATTTTGATAAAAATATATTGAAACAATGAAATATTCGTTTTAGCTTTCAACAATTGCAATTTGTATGAACAATAGCGTCATTTTATCAAATAGTCGTTGGTCTCTTGAGAATTCCAATAGAGAATGAAGACGGATATCCTGACAGCTTGACATTGATCGTGGTCTCAACCCACTCAATAATTTTGTGGAATAACGCTGACTCGCGGTCGTTTGATCGTGAGAATTTCATTCTACTTTTACTTCCCATGTCGTAGAATGGATACCAGGTGGTCCACTTGAAACTATCTACCCTCAGTTACTTAAAAAAAATAACATTTTCAACTGTGAACAAGTTAGACTCAGACAGCGGATGAGTCAATATACAAATCCTCCTTTGCATCTTCAAAATAACGTCTCTTCTCTTACCTGTGATTCAATCGTTATTCTTTTGTTCAAATCGTTCAGGTGAGTAGATTGAGTTTCATGATTAACGATTCATTCAAATAACCGCATAAAAAAATCATTGGGTACCAAGTACGGTGAATGAGCTGGTCACCCAGATGGTCCCCTACGAATTACCCATATCTGTTTGGACAACAGCCAGCTCATTCATCGGACTTGGCACCCAGTGACTGTTCTCGTTGGGGTCATTGAAATGTGTTATTTATAAAACTCTACCTACTGGCCTGAATGATTGAAAAATTGAATGTCTATAGATAATTATCAGAAAATCATTCATATAGGTGCCAGAATATTTTGGCAAATAGATTCTACCTCACTATCTGGGAATCAATGGAGAGGTCATTTTGATTTAATTTACTCACAATTCAAGAATGTATCATTTGAACTCTGGTAATTAGGAAAATATTAATATTTGCTAAAATTCAGAGAACTTTGTACTGGTAGTGTCAGAATCAAATTACCTTTGAAATAAGGTATAACGATACCCTCATTCAATTTGAAATTCCCGAGGGGGTTGATTTGAGTACTAGGGAAGTTGCAACTATAATCGGCATTCTTACATCGATTTCTTGTAGAATCGTTCATTTGAAAGTTATTGACTATAACAGAGTGTGATTTTCCAGTATTATATCACTTACCAAAACGGTTGATCAACAGAATTATCATGCTTAAAATCATAAATTTCCTCATCGTGACTGAAAAAGACACACAGGAAAACCTGAAAACCACTAGCGTCTGATACATGAAAAGTGACCTGTTGATTCAACCAGATTCAACTGTCAATGGCAAGGTCATCCAAAGCCCACTGTGCGCTTAGTGGGAGAGACAGAAAAAGCGCTTCAACTGTTCGGAGGACTGCAAGAAGTGTGCGGCAGCTTCAGACGGTTGGTTCTTGTTTTGTGACGTAGGGGGTGAAAAGTAGACTTTCGACGGGGGTGAATTTGTAGGGTCGAAAGTGACTTTTACCTGTTGCAGGGGCTGTGCTATCGGTGTGTGTGTGATTTTGTGGTGTTTTTTTTCTTCGAAAGTGTCATCCTGGATGAAGGAGAATTGATAGATAATTAACTAGTGAGTGACATTTTTTTATGTCTAAGGTGACTTTTGGTTATGGATCACTATTCCCTTCAATTTAAACATTTTTTTAATAGAACACTCAGTGTATAGGTTACTTACCGCATAAGGACGCATAACATATTCATCCATATTTTGGACAAAGGATATCTGTTCTTTTGAAGGAGGATTAAAGATGCAAAAAATATACAGAGTGATCAGGGTGAAAAATGAGTGCCATGCTCGGGGAATGAGGGGTAAATATGTAAAAATACGAGTAAAAATATGTGTTCCCTTGTTGGTATAATATTCTTGACGTGAAGTATTCAGGGTGGCTCGTTCTGAATGGTAGATGAATTATTTCATATTCAAAACAACCGAACAAGTTTTTCAATTTGAAAATAGTCTGAAAATATAACCAAGACGATGGTTTGATTACAATCAATATACGGTTGTAGGCATCTGAATGAGACCGACAATCAAAAAAATGTTTGTGTATTTTCAGTATGGTGTAACTTTTCCAGGGATAGGATTTTCAAAAAAAAATTATTCTAAATTCCCTGCTCATTGATTTTCATCATACATCCCCTCTTAAATTCTTTCGGTGTTATTTAGATACACCCTGTATAGCTATGACCTATGATAGTGGATAAAATAAGATATATTATTATTGAAAAAGTATCGATGAAGAATGTGATAACATAGATAACACTGATCTAGTCATTTTGGGACACACGGTATATAAAGGATGAACATTTTTTTAATTTGAAATATGTGTGTCAAAATATGTATAGGAAATCAAAGTAATTCAATCAATTCCTAAATGATTCATTTCACGAGACCAAATGATTAACTATGGATTGCATTTCTATTGGACAAACAATGAAATCAAACTCATTTCTCTTAATTCATATCTACTCAGCATTTTCATGGGTCAATGCATTTACTATAGCATTATAGTATACTACTTGAATTAAATATCAGTTCATAGTAGGTAGGTATGCTAATTTTCGTGAATTTTTATACACCTAATTTGAATAATCTCTCGTGTAGCTCGATTTCATGTTCTACAAGAACAAAGATTTCGGAAAAAAGTCCTTGTGAGAAGCCACGGGCAAAACAGTTTTTTATTTCACAATACGAAAAGTTCGAGGAATCATTTCCGGTGTGTAGGTATAGGTATTTGAATGCTGAATAGCAGGATTTGAATAAAAAATACGTGTTGACAAGATCTTTAAGAAACAGGTAAACTAGACCTTGGCTGCTCTAAAAATAGTCTACCTATATTTTTTTCTCCTTTCTGATGACGTATGGGATCCAGGAAGCTATAAAAAACCCACAATCAGTCATCTTGACGAAAAATGAGACAACAAAATATATCATCTCCAAGATATCGTTATTCCTCCTTGTTCTTCTTTCGAAGATATATTTTTTTTATCGCTTGGAGCGCACGAAAGGAAATCCCTATAATGTTCAAAGAACTTCGTGCGTTCCTAGGGAGGATTAGGGACAGGAGGTAGGTATTGGAATTCTTTTTAACTTCTTAAGATTATATGTTGTTGGGAATAGTTCCTCAGGCAATGAATTCCAGAGGCTAGCCGTTCTATGGATGAAGGAGTTTTGATAAAGTGCTGTTCGACATCTTTCGAGGTTTACAACGAAAGGATGTGCTTTCTGGGCTTGTCTAGTTCGTCTGACTGGTATTGCTAGTGAAGGGATGATAGCAGAGATTTCCGAAGAACATTTCCCGTGGAAGTATCGATAGAAAAGTGAAAGGTCGCCGACCCTTCTACGGTGTTCCAATGATGTCAAAGAGTGAGTGAGTGTGGCGTCACCCACCAGGCGGATGGCTCTTCTCTGGATGGAATCTACATTGGCAAAGTTGCGTTTATGCCTAACATACACTTTGTTAGGCATAATTCAACCGACCCTGTATCTCTTATAGTTTACGAGATCCCAACGATGGGTCTCGGATTCCAGCCACCCTGTACCTATATCGTAACAGGCAACAGATGTTCTGATAGATTTCACCTTGTAACCAATTCGGATGGACTGAAAAGATGACCTTCGAAAAATTCTTACGTTCATTTGTCAAAAATGATAATGAATATGAATTGCTCCTAATTATAGTATTAAAAAATGGTAATTATTTGTTTGAATGTCCACTTGAAAATGTCTCAATTCTGTCTATCTAGAATAATCTAGATAGCTATTCGAATATACTTCAAGTCAGTAGACAAGGATATTGAAATTTGAAGTAACTTTTTTATGGCATCAAGTTCTTGTTAGGCAATATTATTGATCAAAAAAGATGATCGATCTATCAGTTATACATTTTTTTCTCTCTTCGAATCTGCTGTCACATGTACGTACTCATTATGAATAATTATTTGAGAACCTTGATTGGCCTTGCCTAGTACTATGAATGTTATATGGATAGACTCGGAAAGATATAATATTGTTCCCATGTCTGAAATCATTGAATAGTTACTTCCTACAGAAACAATTATGAATCAATTATGATGATATTAACAACATGCATAGGTACTGTTTATTTCAGCAATACCCTTGTAAACTGAAGTAATAGCTGTAATATTATTGAATATTCATTATGTGTTTCATCAGGTAGTAGGCATTGATTGAATTGAGTAATTTGAAAACTTGTTTTTCAGCACTTACCATAACTATAGTATAATACCCTGCCTACTCAAAAATTGTATGGCCTTATAAGCAATATGTCATTGAAATTTCAGGAAGGGTGTAAGTTCAGGATTTTCCAATTAGTTGAGCATTGAGCACACCCTGTACGATATTTTGTAAAGGTATTCGTTTTCAAGAAATAATCAAAAGTGTACTTTTTTTTTCCTCTATATACATGAAACATACAAGAGTTGTACAATTCCAAACTAGAATACATCGAACATTAAGGGTATTACAATTATTGCGATTACAAAATTGTATGCAAAGTAGTTCATCGTGATATACAAGTTACACCAAAAAGAAGCCTGCGAAAGCAATTTTAATAATTGTTCAAAAAATTCTACAAGATTGGGGCGGTTGCAAAATTTTATTCGCTGTATCATTTCTTTCAAATTTCAACAAGAAAGAATTTGCATGACTTCACTAATCGTTCAAAATCGTCAATTTTTAAAGCAAATTCATATTTGATTGGTGACGCCGCTGCATGCTAGCATAATCATTAGATAATTGTCTAGGACGTATTGAAAACTCATGAAAATCTTGCATACAATAAAAAAACATTGCACAAAATCTGTCATTACCAGACAGTCTATATAAAAGGAGGAATCTTGAGACAATAGACTTTTTATAGTTAATTATAGGAATATTATCGATACATAATTGAGAATTTACTGACATGATTCGTTATTGAATCAAATATCTGCTTCCCTAACCTTGTTCGGTACATTCACATACAGCATATTATTCAGAATTGCTGCAAGGGGAAATTAAGATGAGGTTATCTTGTTTGAAGTATGTTGCGTTTTTTCGTGAAAACTGTGTCCCATACCATTGTCGATCTAAATTCGGAACCCTTTTGGTCATTCCACGATTCACATTATGATGCCAAATAAAACTCCCTGTACGTATTAAGCGACTTCAAAATCAAGATTGATTGATTCGGATTGTTACATAAATAGATAGTGAGGTTTCTGTGAGTCTCTTAGTTGTTAGGGAGCCTCACAAATTCATCTACATTTTGAGTATCACATTCTTTGAAATGTGAGAAATATTGTGAATATTTTCTAAAATAAAGAGTCCCCTGGCAAAACCAATGATGTTTTCTTTCAATTCGCATTGTTACCTAGCGAGACATGAATATGACATCCCAGGGATGTTTGTGTTTACTAACTATCTAACTAGGTTGTCATCTAGAATGACAATGCTCATACAGTCAAATTCTTCGAAGTTTTCACAACCATTTCTTTCTCTTTCTATAACTCAATATCTTCAGCCAGTTCTCGCACCAATCTATCAAACTCTTCTAGTGCACGTCTGTATTCGTCAGAAGACATATAAGTACTGAATATTTCTCGATATAACATCGGCTATATCTCAACCCAAACCAAATCATCTTATCAATTATTTCCATCACTTTACTAGCCCTTTCATGATATTTCCAATGAATTTGGAGCGATATCTCGTGAACCTTGAGACTTTGCATATAGTTGAGTTGTCATTTTTGAAATGCCTGTGGAAAAGCCTTCTTTCAGAGTACCCACACCATCCTGTTTTGATAGTTCGGCGAGGTATACCATTTGTCAACCACAGAATATGCATTCGTCTTCCTGTTCTAAGCTTCCTAAGATGTATAGTTTCAACCGGCGCAGTGCCTTGGTAGGGCTACCGTTAGTGGGGGCGAAGATATGAAGTCAACTTCGAGACAAATGCTGTTTTTGCTAGAAAGAAACCCACTAGACATTAACTTTCCTGGGATGTCTAGCAAAGTAAACAAAATGCTGGAGCTCACCCAGAAGCTAGCCATCCTGAACCCGATCTACTGGTATGTTCCCGATCTGGTACATACCAGTTTCCTATATTTCGAGATTCTAACCGTGCAAATCCCCCTGACATACGTTATTTTCGCTAGAATCAGTTTGTAGAGGCACAGATATGATTTTTTTTTAGTTATCAAATTCGTGACAGATTTCTTCGGTTCCGGAAGCACGGCGCGAAGTCAACTTCCAAAATGCTGGAGCTCACCAAGAAACTAGCCTTTCAGTACCCCACCTACGTCCTGGCAGTGGTCTCCATAGGCTACATCTTCTTCTTCTTCTCTTGGTACACACCAGTTTTTGCTAGAAACTCTTCCGATATTTCAACATTCCAAATGTGCAAATCCCCCTGGCATACGTTGTTTTCGCTAGAATCAGTTTGTAGGGGCAAAGATATGATATATTTTCTTAATACGACAGTGTTGCCATTAACAGAAAAAGTCAAATTCGTCACAAATTTCTTCAGAATTCGGAAGCACACGGAACCAACCCCTTCAAAATGCTGGAGCTCACAAAGAAACTAGCCTTCCTGTATCTCACCTACGTTCTGGCAGTGGTATCCATAGGCTTCATCTTGGTACACACCAGTTTTTGCTTGAAAATCTTCCTATATTTCAACATTCCAAAGGTGCAAATCCCCCTGACACACGTTGTTTTTGCTAGAATCAGTTTGTAGGGGCAAAGATATGATAGATTTTTTTAATACAATGTTGCCATTAACAGGAAAAGTCAAATTCGTAACAAATTTCTTCAGAATTCGGAAGCACACGAAACCAACCCTCCAAAATGCTGGAGCTCACCAAGAAACTAGCCTTCCTGTACCCCACCTACGTCCTGGCAGTGGTCTCCATAGGCTACATCTTCGGAGAGCTGGGCCACTACCTCATAGGCGTCACCAGCAAAGCCATCGCCAAGGACCTGCACTTCGGAGACATCGCCTGCCAGCTCAACCTGACCCACGTCTACTTGACCGAGTTGCCCGTCAAGTGTGCTACTGCGCAGAACGAGTCGGTCTGTGCTACGTACGAGATCAACGGAACCAGGTAATAAAGTTAGAAAAGAGGAAGAAACTTGAAGTCATAACCGCAATATGTTCATAAAATGAACGAAACTCCAGAAATACTGAATTGTGCTTGAATTCTTCAGGAACGCTTGACTACCTACTGTTTGGTCATCATCACTGCAGGGGTGTCCCCAGTTGGCATTCATGACCACTATCCAGTGCGAACCTGACCCAACGTGAACACCTCTCCATTTGATACCCACGAGGCGTTCGGTTACTGCTAAATGCACAAAACGCCCCCTGGGACAGAAGGAAATAAACACTCCAAAACTGATCTTCCCATTCCAAAGTGGAATGAATTAGTGAAGAGCAAGAAAGTAAAAGTCAATACCACAATATATTCATAGAATGAACGAAACTTTTATATATCTAGACGTGAAAAACTTCTGTTCTGGCAATCCTTCCATCCATCTTCCCGAAATCTATATGCAATGATTCGTATAGACGAATACAGATTGCAAGTGGAGCGATCGATACAATAAAAAAACTCATTATTCTCAAAAATGAGGCTATTTTGTGAAAATATCTCATCATGAGAACTATGAACAACATACATACAAGTTAAGGGTTAAATGTTAAAATATATATCCAAACACAAGCTGAAGAATCGGTGTAGACGGCAACGCTGTGTATCTAATAGTTAGTTCTGTTCCATCGACAAAAAATATTCTCAACACTGCGACGTTGCCACTTACATCGAAAAGTAACAACCTCTTCGATTTTTTGAATGGGACACCCTATATATTATTCCATTTTCAGATTCTTCCTAAAGAGCTGATTTCATCGATCTTCTACACTTGGGGTCTTGCGGGAATGATAACAAAGATATACGGTAAGAAAAATCGAGATTTTTCAACTTCAAGAATTTCTTGTCGAAGCTATTCATAATTAGTCAAATCGGTTCTTATTATGTCCCTATCACAACTTTTCAAGAACTATCGATTGATATGTATTTGAAATATAGATACAGGGTGGCTGAAAATCTTAATTCTGATCCACCCTGTACCTATTTCAATTGAATTTCAATTGATACTAAATAAAAAGTTGATATAGGGACATTGAAACCGTTTCGACCAATTATGAAGAGTTTCGACACAAATCTCAAAGTTGAAAGTCTCGATTTTTGATTTTTCACACCCTATATCTCTGTAAATGTCATTGTTAGACCCTAAGTGTTAAAGGTCAATGAGATCAGTTCTTCAGAATCTGGAAATAGAATAATATTCAGAGTGTCCTATTTGAAAAATCAAAGTTGTTACTACTTATCAATATAAGCGGCAACGTCGCAGCGATGAGAATATTTTAGGTCAATAAAGCACAACTAATTATCCAAGGCACCAAATTTCCAGAATAATCTCGAGTTACGTTCTCCAGAAACGTATCATGGGCCTTCCACCGTGAATCAGCCTCATGACTAGTGAATTTTCCTTGAGTACCAATAGTACCAAAAGACAATCGGCAGTTATAATACTTAGGACGTCAGTACCGCTGACGATTATTTGCCTTGATGTGATGAAAAGGAACCCATTGTATAAAAGAAGAACATCTCTACTGTTTTGAACCCTCAATTTCTTCTCAGGTACTGCGAATGGACTTACAATGGACTAGGATTGGACTACCAAATCCTAGCTGGACCCAGTTTCATAGCTGTCTTCACCATTGTTGGAGTTCTGATGGGATTTCTGGCTGATAAATTCAACAGGTAGATGATCTCACCTAAAACATAAAATATCCTTCAAAAGTGTCACACTTCTGATTTTGTTCTATAGGGTGAAAATGTTGGCAGTTTGCACTGTGGTGTTCGGTGTTTCCATTATCCTCAGCGGTACGGTCAAAGAATTCTGGCAACTGGTACTTCTGCGCATGATCATGGCGGCAGGTGAATCCGGATGTAACCCTCTCGGTCAGGGGATACTTTCAGACATTTTTCCAGAAGACAAAAGGGCTCTGGTCATGGCTGTATTTAACTGGGGAATCTATGGAGGATATGGTGAGTGAACATACATTTTTACGCAGGCGGAAGTGAAAGTTAGTTTACCTGGTAACAAAAGAGGGGCAGAAGTCTCGTATTATTCCCTAGGGAGACAATGTGACATATTTTCTCCCTAGGGAGTTTATGCCAACTTTACATTTTCCGCATAGCTCTGCGCTTTCTTTTCGGAACACCCTTCTCTGAAGCGAGTATAAGCTGCATCATGCAGATTTCTAGATCTCAGTGATAGCAACTTAAGAATCACTGCAGAAGCAGTATCAATAGTTTCTTGGGGTTTTCCATCGATTTCCTGTTCCATAACCGTTAACCATTTTCGAAGCTGTTTCCATTAATTTCAGTTTGATATTTGCTGTCACCATGGGTTGTCAAGATACGAATTCCACAAACTTTACTACTACTAATTATGACAAATCACTTGACCAAATTTTTATTCTTTCTAAATTTTCGTGTTTTCGCCAGCGTAAAAAGTAGTATATACACCTCAGAACAGAATGTTATTTTGCCCTCGGTGCTTTGCGTCTCTCGGGCTTCGTCCTCGAGCTACAAATAGCACCTTGGAAAAATTTTGTATTTCTGTCCCTTGATTTATAATGTACTATTTCATTCAAATCAATATCATGTGAGTACTTCACATCTATGATAATATGATCCCATATAGCACACAATAGCCTAGAGGCATCCTCAAAATGTCGTCAATACCCTGTAGAGGACGTCCTATTTTCTTTATTCTAGTAACATTATGAGGCTGCAAAATTTCCACTTGTAATATCCTGAATACTTGCTTTTGAAGGCTGCCCCTGGGTATATTTCTATATGGTAGAGTTTTTGGTTGTCGACCGGCTTGAGCGATTGGTCGTTTGTGTCACGTGACTAATCACAATGACAAATACGTATGGTTTCGACCGGTCGCTTGTATACAAAAACCTTTAAAACCGTATATACAGGGTGTTTCAAAATAAACTGACTTCCTTACTAGGGTAGGTAGAACACTACAGAATAAGTTGGGTTTGCTCAGTAAAAAAATTTCGTAACGGCATCCGTTATCAAGATACAAGGTGTTGAAAAAATAATGTTTTCAAACATTTTTTAAGTTTATGTCAAAACTACTGGCAACATTGTAATGAAATTTTGCATGGATGTTTCTTGGGATCTGACACATCGCATGGATTCGTTTTTATATCTGACTCTCATAGAGGGCGCTAGTTACACGGTTCGTACCGAGTAATTTTGAACATAACTTTTTTGAGGTTAGTTTTTTCAATTCATATTTGATGTGCACTTGAACATCATTCAATTTCACACCAAAAAGGTACTCTTGGTAGAACTCGATACTGTGTTCCGTTTTCGGAATATTTCGATTTGAAAATGATGAAGTGATAACTTTTGCTGGTGTAAAGCTATGTATTAGAGTGAGTATTATGAAAAATTATCACCTATTTATTGAAAACCGGAAACAACAATACATTTCTGATGCTAAACTTATTGATTTAACAATGAATCACAAGAATAACTTCGAAACAGATTTGACTAAGAACATTGATTACACAGTTTTGTTGTATCTTGAGCAAAAAGTCTATGCTACAGAGGTAAATTCACCTCAAGATTTATAAGACATAATTGAACATCACTGAAATGACCTAACAGCTGATCCTCAACTGTTTAGAAGAATAATGCATTCGAATATCGAATCGTGTATTCGTCGAAAGGTAGGACATTTTGAACACTCACTCTAACTGATTCAATATTCCATGTTTCTAGTCAAATATCTCTTAATTTTCTACTTAGGATTCTTTGTTCCATCAATAAATTCAGCACAAAAATAATTTTATTGTTTTTAAATCTGAATAAATAGGTAATTGAACTCAATAAAATTTATTTTATACCATCAGCATCAGCTATTACTCCATTATTTTCATATCGGAATATTCCGAAAACGGAACGTAGTATCGAGTTTCATCAGGAGTACCTTTTAGGTGTAAAATTGAATAATGTTCAAGTTCATGTCATATTTGGAGCGGAAAATTCAACCTTAAAAAAGTTATGTTCTAAACTACTCGGTACGAACCGTGTAACTAGCGCCCTCTATGAGAGTCAGATATAAAAACAAATTCATGCGATGTGTCAGATTTCAAGAAACATCCATAAGAGATTTCATCACAATGTTGCCAGTAGTTTCGAGATAATCGTGAAAAATGTGTACAAAGATCATATTTTGAACACCTTGTATCATGAAGACGGATGCCGTTACGACATTTTTTCACTGAGCAAACGCAACTTATTTTGCCGTGTTCTACCTACCCTAGCAAGGCGGTCAGGTTTTTTTGAAACACCCTGTATATCGAGAATCATCTATATGGGTCATCGAATGAAATAATAATTCTGCACTGGATACATCAGAAATAATACACCCCAGTGGATCATCCAGTGATGTAATGAGAACGTTCCTATAAGGAACATCCTCAAAACGTCACCAAGAGCTTCTAGAGGACGTCCTGTTGTCTTCATCCTAGGGTTGCCATTAGATTAGGCTGCAAATTTTTACTTATAATGTCCTGAATTAGAAGACTAACGGACAGCCTGGGGTATATCTCTATATATGCGAACCTAGAATGACATTCTCGAAATGTCACCAAAAGCTTCATTTTTAACACACTATACTCAAGAAGAAATTATCTTTCTATTTGTTATCGTGTTCTTCCCAATACACGATGTGAAAATAATTATCCTCAGGAGGTCTATAAAACGGTTTCAGGTCGACCCTGGTGGATTGTGAGAGGATATACTCCATACGTAATTCGCATTTATAAAATGATAACAGATGGACGTCCTAGAGACGTCTCAAGGGCTGCTTACGTACGTCTTCAGGACGTCTCTGGAGGATATCCTTGGGATATTCTGAAACGTCATGTGCATGTAGAACATGTGAACAGGTGGACGTTCTTGAGACAGATTTTCTTCGGCTACCTAAAAAAAAAATTTAAATCTCTGTATAGATCTTGAATCCTTTTGCAGGAATCGGTTTCCCCGTGGGTCGTTACGTGCCCCACCTGAACGCCTGGGGACTAGGCTGGCGCGTAGCCTACTACGGCGCAGGCATAGTGGCCCTGATCCTCGCTTTCCTCACGTGGTTCACGCTCAGGGAACCGGAACGCACGGACATCGGCGAGTCTGCGCAGAACGACCACGAGGACGCCAAGAAGGTGACGATTTGGACGGTGATATCAGACCCGAGAATCATTCTGCTGTGTTTGGCCGCCTCCATAAGGCATTGCGGGGGCATGTGCTTCGCCTACAATTGCGACTTGTACTATCAGACTTATTTTCCGGACTACGATCTAGGTAAAGAGTCTAATTTCCATTCATTGATGGTCTTTTCCATCGACAGCTGGCTGTCAATTTAGAAAGTCATCTGATAATGAAATCATATATATGACCCATATATGGCATGTTAAATAGTATATTGTTCAACGAGCACCAAATGATAGAGTGATTTCCTACGAGAGTTTGCAGCATGAGCCAAAGGCGAATGCTGCAATCATTCACTAGAGTCCGATAAATCTTTTCTTGTCTAACCTCTAGTGTGTGCGCCGCTGAAATATTTTCGATGTTATTCGCGATAGGAAATAATAACACGTCACTCCACCTGACGGTAACAACTCGAACTCTGCGGTTTGTTTTGATGATGTGACCAATAAGCACGAACAAAAGACAAATGTGAACCAATGAAAACAAAGTGAACATGCTGCTTTGACAGCTTCCAAAAACTCCGATAGGTGCGCTTATTTTCTATCGCGAATGTACTGACATATTTCACTTAGACTGAACTTGATCAGTTAACATGCATTCTAACTAATCTTCGAAAGAATTCTAGTGAGATATATTTCAGTAAGTTCAGATTATAATAATGTGATATGTCTATGTCATAAACTTCATTGACTGATAACCTTTCAAATTTTTTAAATGAAATTACAGATTATATCATACTGATTTTAACATCTTTGAATTCAAAAATAGTTCAGTGGCACAATCTAGCTGATAGACAAGGAAATATTTATCGGACCTCTCTATATTTCAATGCGGCCACGTTGGTAGCATTGAAGAGAAAGATGGAAGAAGAGAGAACTTTCCTCTCTCTCTCTCGTTCAAGGTAGAAAAGAGATCAATTAACGATCAATTGTTGTATAGGCAACAAAACATACACCACGTCTTTTCATTGTCAGAATTATAACTTACGGAACCTACATTTAAATCTAAATTAGGGATATCATCGCGATGAATTCAAGTTATATAACTGGTTAGTTTCTCAACGTTTCAGAACTAAATTCGATCACTGTTTTCAAATAGTATTATAAAAGAAATGTCAAAAGTTTCTTATGTTAGTGAGACAAGAAGTTTCCGAATGAATTCTGAGTTCGCTACCAACATGTCTTCATTGCAGGAGAAATATACAGGGTGTTTCATTAGGAAAGGTAAACAATTCAACTGTGGATAGGGGTCACTGAGGTGATTTCAAAAAACCCATGGTTGATGGGTCTTCGACTTCTTATAACCGAGATACAGGATGTTTCATCAATTTTGTCCATATCTTCATTATCTCATAACTTTCTAACCAACCTGTATATATTTTTAAAAATTGGTTCACTTGCTCAATCTACCCTGTGGAATTGATTGGGGCAAACAACAAAAGATAAAATCCAGGTCCGGCTTCACTTAAAATTCACAAATTCTTTCTGCCAGAAAACAACACCCTATACATTCGAATTTCTCATTTTATTTGCCATATCTGAAAAGAACATCAGAATTTCTATTCAACGATGTGCTTTTTATTCGTGCACAGACGATTTTAACTATTCATATTATGTGCTCAAAATATTATTTTTGCTCATTTTGGGGTACAAAATTGGAATCAGACGAGATTTATTAATTTTATTACTTCCTATTCAGTATACGTGAGTATTACATTCAGAAGGAGTATTTCATATCGTTCTTTGTTCCAGACTTAGTTGCAGGTCCGTCATCAAAACTATACAGGGCTTTTCACGATAAGCGTTAATTAGATGTTTCTGGCAAACCAGGCAACAGATAAATCTAAAAATTCGAAGGTTTGTATAAATTAACATGATCTACACGTCTGAAATATTTGAAACAATGCCGCTTGAACTCGAAAGTAGTAGTAACTTTGATTTTTCAAATGGGACACCCTGGATGCTTCCTGAAGAGCTGATTTAATCGATTCACAAAGTTCGGGGTCTAGTGGGACTAATAACTGAGATATTTAGAGTGGGAAAAATCGAGATGTTTCAGCTTTAGAATCATTTTGCGAAAATATTTATTATTGATCAAAACGGCTTTTATGGCCCTATCTTAACTTTGTATCTATTGTCATTTAATCGAAACAAATACAGGATGGTTCATAATTCAGATTTCTGCACCACCCTCTGTATCTGTTTCAATTGAATATCGAATGAAAAGTTGAGATAGGGACATTGAAGCCGTTTTGACCATGCAATAATAAATAGTTTCAACACAAAACATTTCTAAAGTTGAAACATCCCGAGTTTCCACATACTATATCTCAGTTATCAGTCCCGCTAGACCTTGAATGTTTTGAATCGATGAATTCTGCTGTTCAGCAAGAATACAAGAATGTAATGAAATACAGGGTGCCCCATTTGAAAAATCGAAGTTGCTGCTACTTTCTAGTAGAAGCGGCAAGGATGGATCGTTTCAAATATTTCAGTAGTGTAGATTATGTTAATTTATACATACCATCGAAAGTTCAGATTTATCTGTTGCCTGGTTTGCCGAAAACGTCAAATTAACGCTCATCGTGAAAAGCCGTGTATAGTTTTGATGACGGACCTGCAACTGAGTCTGGAACAAAGAACTATATGAAATACTCCTTCTCAATGTGTTACTCACGTATACTGAAGAGGAAGTAATAAAATTAATAAATCTCGTCTCCAATTTTGTACCCCAAAATGAGCAAAAATGATATTTTGAGCACATAATATGAATAGTTAAAATGGTCTGTGCAGTGTGCACGAATAAAAAGCACATCGTTGAATAGAAAATTTGATGTTCTTTTCAGATATGGCAAAAAAAATGAGGGCTTCGAATGTATAGGGTGTTGTTTTCTGGCAGAAAGAATTTGTGAATTTTAAGTGAAGCCGGACCTGGATTTTATCTTTTGTTGTTGCCTCAATCAATTCCACAGGGTAGATTGAGCACGTGTACAAATTTTAAAAAATATATACAGGTTGGTTGGAAAGTCATGAGACAATGAAGATATGAACAAAATTGATGAAACATCCTGTATCTCGGTTATAAGAAGTCGAAGACCCATTAACCTTGGGTTTTTTTAAATCACCCCAGTGACCCCTATCCACAGTTGAATTATTTACCTTTCCCAATGAAACACCCTGTATATAGTCAATGAAACAAATTTGAATCGAAATGTTGTAATGATCTCGAACATTAACACGCTCGCTTTGCTCGCACGTTAAAATATCTCGATCATTAACCGCCCTCAATTAATACATTACATTATTATTTGTGATTGTTTTTCCAGGATGGTGGCTGTTTGCAGTGACGATTGTGATTGGATCTATCGGTGTGGTAATTGGAGGCATAGTTTCGGATAAGATCGTAGCAAAAATGGGAATCAGATCTAGATGTGTGGTGTTAGCTATCAGTCAACTGGTAGCTACTCCATTCGCTTTTGGCAGCGTTTTTTGTACTCCGACTGGGGCCATGATAACCCTAGGTATATCATACTTCTTCGGTAAGTAACAATTATTCACTTCACAATTTTTAAATTACCGGAAATTTTATCAAGAATACGAATTTTCTAAATATTCGTCTTCAAGGAGGAATTTCTCATTTTCAATTCTATATGTTTCACATAACTATATTTATTGTATAAAATAATATTTTTTTCAGCTGAGATGTGGTTTGGAATTCTTTTCGCCATGGTCGTGGAGATAGTACCATTGAAATTCCGTTCAACAACCATTGGAATTTTCCTCTTTGTCATGAACAACATCGGAGGTAATCTGCCTATCGCTGTCGAGCCAGTTTCCAAGCAAATCGGTTACAGGGAGAGCTTGTATATTTTCTACGTTGGAGCCTATGCCCTAAGTAAGTTTATGATTATACAGAAAAATGAATCATCATGTTGAAAAGTTGAAACAGAAAGCTATAATATCATTTACTTACACTTCAAAATATAGTCGTACATCGACTGGAGATGCATTATGTATCCCTCACTGCATAAACCCCCTGTTCGAATAATAATGCATGCTGTTAGCCCAGTGTGTTTACTGGCGGAAAATATATATAATCTACACTTTTTCGAACAGGTTTTTGGTACTCCTAGCTTCTCGCAACCTCACCTCATATTGAATTTATCCGTTTTGCAAGTGTCTAATATATAAAATCTTTAAAAAATATATCCAGGCGTAGTGCATCTATACCGTTCTCATCCCATTCAAGCCCTATCTCAGCCATGCTAACTAGAATACCTACCTAACCCAACGTAGTTTGACGATTCTGTGACGTTGTTTTAGCAGTTTTGTGCCGTTTTTGATGATTTAACGAACCCGTGACATTTCTGTGACGTTTTTGTGACGTTTTTGATGCGTGAACAAACTCGTAACGTTTCTGTCGCGTTTTTGTGACCTTTTTGTTTCATTCCATTCGAATATATTAGTTACGGGGCTAAGTGGTTGGATGGCAGATCTAACAAGGTTAAGTGGTGTGGCTAAACAAAAACGTCATGAGTCATCAGAAGAGTCACAAAAACGTCACAGAACCGTCATGGGTTTGTCAAAACATCAAAATTGCCACAGAAATATCACTGGTTTGACAAAGCATCAAAAACGTCACAAAACTGCCTCCAAAAAGAATAATCAAACTACGTTGGATCAGGCAGCTATTCCAGTTAAGAATAATGCATGAGTTAGATAGGGCTGTATTGGGATAGGTGCTCTATACTTTAAGAAACCACCGTTTGACATTCACCCATTCATTGTTATCATATAATTCTTGCTTCTAGGTTCTATTATGTTTCTGTCAACAACGTTCTTGATGGATGGTCCAGTTGTACCAGCATCCTCCCCATCAAAGAACCTTTCTGGACACGATAATGTCGTCTTTACCGGAGACGATACCAATCTTCCTACTATAACGGCCTTAGTGAGGAACGGCAAAAAACTAGACGATGAGAGCAGTAGGCTGTGAAATAATAGTGAAAAAAGACTTGGGACAATTTTTGGAGATGTATTCGTACGCTTACTGTGACCTACTCGATGAGTTGATTTGTCGTTTTCAATATCTCAGATATACAGAGAAGAAGAATTGTATAGTTTATATGACGAAATGGACGTGAGAGTCGTTTTTTATATAGTTTTTTTGAGGGCGTGGTCACTTGCCAACTGAATGTGAATATTTCATTTCAAACCAAATCATTTCAATCAATGATGTTGCTTGTATGTGATATTTAATATTTCCGATCATTTCACTTCGCTCAGAATGAATCTAATATAAATTTTGTTGATGTATCCCCATACAGTTGTGATTGAACAAGTATAATTTATATTGATGAATTTTATTGTACATAACAAAAAAAACAGACTAGGTACTTTTAATCTTTTGTTTTTTTTTACCTAGCTGAATGATGAATGCAGTTCATCAGGTCCAAGAGCCTATATAAAAAAAATATGTGGTATCATTCTTGTGTGGACAATCAGGTTTCATAATAACCTGTTCACAAAGTCTTTTTTGAGGGTTATTGAGGTGAAATTCCACAAGACTGCAAATTAATAATAATAGTATAATTATTATGAGCTTGTAAGTATAACAATAATCATCAATTACAAAATTTATTTAACTATATTGAATAATATACGAATGAAAACTAAGAACAAGTTTTGGTTTGACAAAAAGATTTAGGTACCCATGAGAAAATCAATAGACAATGCTAAATGTAATAAAAACAGTTCGTTTGTCAGCCTATCTATAGATAATAGCCCAATTATTCTGATACAGGTTCTCGAAAGATTTTGGAAATGTACTCAAATTTACATTTACCATGAATAACTGCAACATTTAAAGAATTATTATGGCTTATTGGGGTATCAGGCTTGGATTTTGTAGATTCTTGTTGCAGTAATGTCTCCAATCGACATAACCTGAAAATCAGAAACATTATCGGTATTTCGAAATCTAATTATGATTTTATCTACTAGCGGCAGGGAAAGTTGCTTTTCTCTGATACTCAACAGGCAGGTAGAGTGTACTTTCTCTGCCTAGGCAAAAAAGGTTTGTTGCTATGCAACGTTCCGAGTAATTTGAATGAAATCGGTAAAATCAAAATTGACATTGACATTGGGTGAACACAACATGATGCAGAGTTTTCAATTAAAAAAATACACGAAATTGGTTTCATAACATTTGGAGAAGAAATTATATGTTTCAAATGGCAGCAAACGTAGATTGACTGCCTTGACTGAATTATCCGATCAGACGCGGCAGTCAATCTACAACTTTCCTGCCTAGTAAATCAAACTATTTCAACAAAACTTGACTCATCACCAACTTTCACCTTTCTAAGACATTATTATCAGTCATCAAAATTCTGAAATACAGAAAGTGTATTCTACTTTGAAGATGATCCTTGAGATGACATGTGAAGGATTGACAAATTTTTTGATTGAAATTTGCAGAAATAAAAATCATAATTTGTCAATTTGAGGTAGGTAGGTTGGTATTCGATTGATGAATGATATATAATTTTTTAACACACCATTTTGCACTCTTCTGGGGTGAAAGTCCTGTCGATCGTAGTTGTAGTACCATCAGCATTCTTCTGAACCTCATGTAGGGTGTTTCCATCTACAGTGATAACGGCAGAAACCTGCAATAACATCGATAGATAAGGTAGATTTCTTCCAAAAATTCCAAAACTCTTATCCAAAGACCGATAGTTCTCAGGAAACAGAAATTTCATAGCAATAATATCAACTCTTTTATTATTTTGTATCGTTACGATACCAAATAAACAAATTTCCGAAATTTTTTTGCTCTACCTTTGAGTAAAAGGAGCATATGAAATTACACTGGTAATTTCTTGGCGTTTATGTCAATAAAGTCGTTTAATTATATTTCATACAACCTAATAATAATCATTATCACGTGAGCAAATTTGATTGATATTAAATAGTACCCACTTCGAGTTTTTTGTGAGAAAATATATTTCTTCCAATTTTTGTAGGATGAATTTATGAAAAACTAAGAAAGTGAGCTACTATAATGACTCATTATTATTATACATCATGTTTAAGTAAGTAATAGATATTTATGAATATCAAGGGCGTAAAGTAGGCTTTTATGGACCGCAGCGTGTAAGTATGAACACGCTTTGGCATAAAAGCAAGTGGCGCCCGAAATACGAGTGGAAGAACATTTTTTGTGATGCATAGCATTGCAGACAATGAACTTCGCTCTTTATTTCATTTTAACTGAGAGAATAAATTATTTATGTTATATATTTATTTCATGGAATAATAAAGACGATATTATTATTATTATTATTATTATACATGCAACATTTTTTAGACGTTTTAGACATAATTTATTAATGATTTTGAATAAATTTGACCAAAATATGTACATCACTGGCGAAGAGATATCGAATGGGAGTCTACTGGGAATACTGGAAATACTGTGATATTACTTTACCACCCGCTGTACTCCTATATTGCCCTAGGACGTTAAAGTGCTACTTCACGCCCGTAAATCCGGGCGATAAAGTGCCACTTTAGGCCCGATCGTGCATAGAGTAAGTTAATTGAGTTTTATTGAACATATAGTTGTTCTGGATTTGGATTATATTGATACTTCATATTTCCCCGAGTTCCGTGGGAAAAAATATATTTCCACCAACTTTTGTGGAATAAGGTTAGTCAAGAATATTGGTTTGAACTACCACCATCAGCTGCCTTAATGATATCTTGCGCAACTTAAATAGGTAATTAGTTTATAGATGTTAAACCAAAAGTCACCTCCACAACTTTCATTAAAATGATCAAAGGTCATCAAAGGTACAAACATACATTACATCATCAGCCGATAAGTAGTTTTCAAAGTTATGGAAGTGAAAGAAGAAATTCAAATAAAGCAGACGATAACAGAGCAAACATGATTGTTTATTTAAAATTTGTGTTATTTATAAAAAGTTGTTATACAAGCAAGGGCCTACAGGAAAATGTCAAACTATTAAAAGTACGATGTGGCTTTGGAATGCCAGCAAAATGGAAGATATCACATGTGCAGTGACACTGGTATTTCGTATTTATCCTAGTTTTTTTATCTCTAGGAGCGCACGAAAGTGAATTCCTATGATATTCGAAGAAATGAAATTTATTACCGCATGGCTCCTAGCTTCAAGGTTCATTTGATTTTTTTTCTCGAACACGATTATTCAGAAAATTATCAAAATAATAAATATTCTTGCTATCTACTCTGGTGGTATTAGACGTGAGAATACATTTCCTCAGAATTAGATATACATTTTTTTTTGTACATATAATTGAATATTTTGTGGTATTAGCCTTGATCAGGAAAACAGTTATTTTATGTTATCATAGTGTACACGTATATTGAAATAATATTCATATTCTTATTTTACAGAAACGAGGAGAGAAAATCCCAAAAATCTGGAATAATAATATGAATGAATCATTACCTTGCGACCATCTGGCGTATCCTGATCAAATTCGACACCGGGCTTGAATTTCAGAACGATGTTCTTGAAGGTAGAATTTGAGTTGAACGTGTATTCATCCCCTTCCTTCTGCAAATCGACCACTGGACTAACTGCACCACCCATTTTGCGGGTTACCAGACCAACCCCTACAAAAATAAGTAATTTAAAAACTAGGGTCCCTTGATGCGAACTGACGTATTTGTCATCTAACAGGGTACGGACAGATCATAGCCCCTTTCTCTTTTAATCATCTAGTGACTTTGGTTTCGTGTATTGTCGTCCCTGACATGACATTGCTGTCACGTGACATTCATATGCGTTAAAGAGATCATACAAAATTTTAATTCCATACCTGATCTCAATACGAAATTATTCAATTCTGTTTTGGGAAAGATGGTAAAATGTGCTGCGTTAGGCTGTGTCCATCAATTGGATGACAAAATTGAATTTATCAGCTTTCCATCAAATGCAAATGAACTTAGAACATGGAAAGTGAAGTGACCGAATTGGGGAAAATTGGTAAATTCATCAGCAAAATATTCGAGGTAAAACTAATACGAAATCACATGTTATACTTTCTCATTGTGCCAATAATTATCCACTCCACAAGTGTTTCAATGCATTTTAGTATATACAGTTTTGATTTAAACGGAGGATTAAAAGAAGAGGCATACGCCCCACCATTTGAAAAATTATACCTACATTCAGGAAATATTGAGTGTGAAAAATGATTACCTACATGAATATATACAGCACACATGACATATGAGCACATTAGTTTGAATACCTACATAAAATTTATCACAATTTCTCAACCATAAGGCGTCTGAAATCAAAATTAATGTATTGATAGGTACTGCATAAAAGCAGTCCCATTTGGTAAAACGAATTAAACTTTCAGAAAAATTTGCTCAGTGCCTCACAAAGATTATGCTGGAGTTGATAAATCAAAAACTCGAAAATTATCATCATCATTGGGATATAAATACGTAGAGTTGAATGATAAATTACATGTGGAAATTACGTATGATACGCCAATGTCCTCGATATAACCTAAAAAACAAAAAATGTCAGAAATCTAGTGTTCAACCTCAGAAAGGAATAAAGATGAAACTATATAACCCGCTATTCCAGAGAACTAGATTTTAAAGATCAGTTCATCGTGGAGTTGTGGTTTGCGAATTCGAAAATAATAGGTTTCAAAGGTGACGATATGAATGACTTCAATAAGTATTGCATAATTATTCCCAAAGTATTTGCTGGGCAACGTGAAATTTAAACGTAGAAATTCCCCACAATTAAAAGCTAATTAAGAACAAATTTATTTTCTTGTTCTATTAGAACCAAGTCTGTGAAATTTGTTGGTCTGTAAAACCGATGTATGAGGTCTAGAAAGAAACCTAAAGATCTTATTTAATATAAGGGGTACAACGTATTCGTTAGAGAAGCGAAAAAATAGTTTTTGAATTTTTGATGAGATTCAACGCTTTAAATTCAATAGTTTGTATTATACAGGGTGCTGAAGTTGACTTTTTCAAAATTTCGAATGGCCATTGTGAAGTTTCCTTTTCGAATACCAAAATCAAATCGACTACGTTTTGTTTGTCCATGTGGCCGGTGAAAATCCAATATAGAGTTCAATGATATCTGCACGTACTTACGATATACGGAGTTGGTCCAAAAATAGCAAATGTTTCAATTATTTCCGAAATAGTGGGCGGTTGAAATCAATTCAATTCAATTGAAAAAGTCAACTTCAACACCCTGTATAATACAAACTATTGAATCCAGAGCGTTCATAATTGGGCCATCTGATCAGCATCATGAGTTCTACGATATATCCAAAATTCGAGAAAATTCACAGAAAGCCAATTTCCCCCTATTGCGGTGCGGGGTCCTTTGTAACCTTATAGTGAAAAATCTTAATGAATATAATGGTTTGTTCATAATTTCATTAATCAAGTAACAAATCAAGTAACAAACAATATTTTCAGAAAAAAAACCATCACATGATAAATGCAAAATTGACCAAAAAAAAAATACGAAGTCACAAAGATGAGCAGAAAATTTCTTATTGAAGTCTAAATCAAAAATATAGGACCTGAGTCTAGTTGTATACGAAAGAGAAAAGCTAGGTATCAGTTTTCTATTCAGACTTTCGGATTCAATTTACTAATTATTTTATTACTGTGAGTACCTTAATCTCTATGAAAAGTACCTATAGCGCATATGATTATTTAAAATAGCAGGTTCGATCACGGTATGGAAATAACTTAAACTGTTCATTTTGGACTTTGATCAACGAGTCAAAAGTCATCATTTACCGAAACCGCAATTGATTATGATCAACCACAGCAAAAATATAAAATTATAATCGAAAATGTATTACCCAAAGCCTTCATGTATTCATCGAAATTATCGCTGCTCTCCAGCTTGTATTTTTTGCCCAAAATTTCCGTAAGACCCATATTTATGATCCTCACACACCAACGTAGCAACAATATCTGAATCTAACAACTTTTTTACCGGTATAGTACCGACTGTACATTACACTAAGCACATCTGATGAGTACAGGAGCAAAATTGGTACCCACTGACCTATCCAACCAAAGTCTATACTGACAAGAACTTTTCAATATGTTTGCTGATAACAACACTGATAAAAAGTGGAATATTCGTTAATATACCGGGTGTCTCACAGAACCGAGCCTCTACAATTTTTGAGACGCTCATTCCCTTTCTTTTTGTTATAATTACAATTTCTTTACTTTCAACTGTGCCGGTGTCGGTGTGTCTGTAATCAAATCTTGTATATTAAATATGACATACTTCTAATCGTCTGCTTGATTTGAGATTTGATATAGGTGAACATATTTTTTGGTGACAACGCATCATGAAATTTTTGTGATAGAAAAAAAAACAAAATGGCGTAATTATAATTCGATTCTATTCAAAGTTGGTAACTAGGGGTTTTCGGGGTATATAGTCTGAGATTATGATTCTTTCGTCAAAATTGGGAAATTCAAGATGGCGGATCAGATATGGCGGATGAGTTTTGTAATAATGTCCGATTCTATATTCAAAATATGTATCAGAGAGTATTCGGGGTCGGAGATTATGATTATTCCATCAAAATTGGGAAGTTCAAAAGATGGCGGATGAGATATGACGGACCAGTTTTGTAATAATGTCTGATTCTATATTCAAAGAAGGTATCTGAGGGTATTCGGGGTCAGAGATAATGATTCTTTCATCAAAATTGGAAAATTCAAGATGGCGGTCAAATATGACGGACAAGTTTTGTGATTATGTCTGATTCTATATTCAAAATAGGTATCTGAGGGTATTCGGGGTCGGAGATAATGATTCTTTCATGAAAATTAGGAAATTCAAGATGGTGGGTCAGATATGACGAACGAGTTTCGTAATAATGTCTGATTCTATATTCGAAATAGGTATCTGAGGGTATTCGGGGTCGGAGATAATGATTATTACATGAAAATTGAGAAATTCAAGATGGCGGATCAGATATGACGGACAAGTTTTGTAATAATCTCTGATTCTATATTCAAAATAGGTATCTGAGGGTATTCGGGGTCGGAGATTATGATTATTCTGTCAACAATGGGAAATTCAACATGGCGGATCCAATATGGCAAACGAGTCTTGTAATAATGTCCGATTCTATTCAAAATAGGTATCAGGGGGTATGCGGGGTCGGAGATTATGATTCATTCGTGAAAATTGGGAAATTCAAGATGGCGGATCCAAGATGGCGGATCCAATATGGCGAACGAGTTTTTTAATAGTGATCCTATTCTATTCAGAATTGGAATCTAGGAGTTTTCTGGTTCGGAAATTATGATTCATCCATCAAAATTGAGAAATGGGCCGATTATATTCGAAATTGGTAAGTGGGGTATTTTATTGTCAGATATTTTCACAATCAGGTATACAAGCTTTTATGAAAGGTATTGACTATAAATAAAATATATGTACAATAAACATTCGATAGAAATTATCGGAGTGATTATTCAACTTCAATAAAAATACTGAAAAGTTGAAAATGAACTTACAAAGCCCCTATATGAAATGATAATTTCATATTTTTTATCTTTTCTGGCATCTGTCGTTGAAAATACTTGAAAATGAACTTTTTTATACACAAGCTTAAGAACAAATGCACTAAGAAGAAAAAAATAATTCCTCTCATGCTTGATCTAAGTTATTCTGAGAGTAACAGATTCAAAAGCTTGGCGCGGATACAAAATAGGAAATCATGTCGTTTTAGGGAGGCTTGTTAGTTTATGCCTCCACCAAAATTTCGAGTAATTTCAAATCTTTATTTTTGGATAGGGCACTTATTTGTATTTTCCTGACAAGGTTTTCTTGGCAACCCAGTATATAAGACTGGCTTAGTACTCGGCTTACTATCAAAGTCCACCTGCTATTTTATGCGTTATACCAGTTAATATCTTAGTTCCAAAGTCAATAACATATACGGATTAAGGGGAATAGGAGCCCAGTTGATTTATTTGATGGCAAGTTGTCAATAAAAATATCGGAGGTTTATCAGTATATATAGGTACAATAAATATCTTGAGATACATTTTCTTATTCAAATTCAAGTGATATTTATATAACCCATCATCTATTTATTCTATCAATTACATAGGTATATCCTATAATCTACTGTTTGCAAGTACTTTTAGCTAAATGTGCCCTTTGGCTATATACTGTTAATCCGAGTCCATGGCAAGAACACTCATTTCTAGTAAAAATACCATGATGTTCATCACAATGAGAAAATACATAGAGAATTTTTCTAGATTTTTTATTCCTTTTAGATTTCTCAATGTTAGAATACGACGGAAAATCTTCAGCGGTGCTTATTACGTCACAAGTTCTATAATGTGTCGACCGTCTATTGGTAGTCGAGAAAAAATCGAAAATTCACTATTCAGTGAGATGAACATCGTTGTCGTTTTAACCAATTTTTTACTTCTTTGGATATTTGAACGATATCATGGATGAACTGAGCAAGAATGTTTCAAAACTCACTTGATCCTGATTTCCTATACACTGGATTGTGGCATATTATGACATAAATATTGAAGTGATGTCACCAGAATTTGAGGTTCATTAAAAAGTATACCAAAATCGTTCAGTGGGATTGTTTTATAAACCTATGTTACAACGAATAATTGAGTAGTAGACCAAATTTCGACGCTGCTGATCGAACTTACAATGTCATACAACCTACTCGATTACTAATCATGTCAGCTATATAAACTTGAAGAATTGGAAATGAGGGAAATCTCACCAGTTCACAGTATAGGATCGATTCTAAATTGACAAATATTCACTTGACATTTCCTTAAAAGAAAACAGCTGGCAACGCAGGAAAAGGGATTATCACGTCAGTATTGGCGCCGCCGAAAGCTATGTTCGAACCACAGTTTAGGGAATATTACATTTCGAAAGTTTCATCAAATTGTAGGATATTCAAATGGTGTTTTTTGGAATATTACAGCATATTTTATCAAAAAATTGATGCATTCATGTTTTGTTTTTACTATATTTCAATTATATGCACATTAAAATTGAATTCACGCATTTTTGTCCTTGCCTAAAGAAAAAACATTGGAAACAGCAATTATATGCAAAATTGACTGCGGCATCTGAATCTATAATCAAAAAACACAATCAAGGGTCAATTAAAACAGTTTTATGAAATAGTACCTGATTTAAAAAAATATATAAATAACTCACTAGCTTGTACAGGGTGATTCACCATAAATGTCCCCCTCCTCTAGCTCAGTTATTTTTGAACCGATTCCAAAATTTGAAATATCATCTTGCTCGGAACAAACGATCAACAAGGTACTATTTGATTTTTTCAAATGAAACACCCTATTTCTCATTGTATTTTTGAATTCTCCCTGCGGAGCTGATTCAATCAATGCATCACACTTGGGATCTAGCAGGAATGATTAGAGATATAGGGTGTTCAAAATCGAGATTTTGGATTTTTTTGTGACGAAACTATTCATTATCGGTCGAAACGGCTCTCGATCATGTCCGTATCTCAACTTCTGATTTACTATCTATGTACTGACATTCAATAATTGGAACAGATACAGGGTGATCAGCATTCTGAATCTTGAACCACCCTTGTACGAACAATCCACAAAAATGCCCAATTCCAATTATGTACTAATTTTAAAAAACATAAAAAGCTGATCCGTTCGATTTGGGAAATAATCCCAACATATCGTATCTACTCACAAAAACTTTGAGTAGTTATACAAGGTGATTTTGAAATTAGTACGCATCAATATGATAGGCTTTAACGAATATTCGAGTTAATAAAAAAGAATGCCATCACCTCAAAGCCATAAGAGCGTGATTGTACCTTGAGCACGAAAATTTGCTCAGTAGAATTTTGGGATATTGGTGACTCATGATAATTCAATTGGCAATATAATGAGATAAGCTTCGAAATGTATGAAAAATATATCACAATAAATAATCATTACTACACGACAGTTCTTATCGTGAAACTAAAAATGTCTTTATATAATATGTTGATATTTTTATGACCAAGATTACCTATAGATACATAATACTATCGAGAAATTAGATAACATGTTGATTCGAAGAAGATATATCAAATTCTTATACAATGTAATATGAATCCTACATAATACCACATAAGTAAATAAGATATATGTATATATGTTTCATATGTAATCAAATGAAGAGGAAAATAATAATAAAATGCAACCTATGTCGCAAGAAACTTGTTATCCTATGTTACATCGTGTCTCAAAGAAAATATGGCATAACATACCGGGTGTCCCATTTGAAAAAAACAGTGAATTATATTTTCACACAATCGAGAAATGACATAATGAGAGAAAAATCAGCGAAATACCAATTGAATTTATTCCATCTGGCTGATGATGGCTCAAGTAATCAACATAATATTTGTCATTTCAAACTAATCAATCCACCCCTAATTTTTGGTAAAAGTGCACTTATCATGCGATGGGGTTTTTTTCGAAAATTTTTTTTGGTACTTACGTATTTTCGTCTGAAAAACACGAATTTCATAATGAAAATGTGAACAAACCACTATTTATCGAGATATTTCAAGAAAAAGTTCGAAATTTTGCCTTCTTTTCCCCCTTGTGTTGGATGCATTTACAGGTACTTGCTCTTATAATTTTGTCATTGGACACTTTATATACTCATGATGTACTTCACTGACACATTTTAAGATAGAAAATTCAATTTTTTATGGCGATTATTTAATCCATTTGCAATCCAAATACGAGATGTCAAATGTCAATAGATTGCTTTGGAATGACATTACACACGCCATTATTTCAAATGATATGCTTCCTTCTTTTCACTAAACATGGATAAATCACCAAGAAAATCATATTTCTAGTTGACTCATATAATAAAAAAAATGTGTCCAACATTGTGTGATATATATAAATTGTCCAATGATGGAAAAAGAAGGGCAAATTGTTCTAAAT